TATAATATAGAGAATATACATTTGTAATTAAGTTAATAGTTTAATCATTATGTATTGATTATAATTTAAATTAATTTTGCAAAAATTATTCAATTGACTTCATCAAAGATATGAATTGAAGTTACTTCTACTTTAGATTGAGGATTTTATAGTTTCCTTTTCCTACAATATTATTAAATTTCTTGTTAAAGTTTAATCCCAAGTTTAACTAATGGTCCTAATAAACCAAGAATCAAAATTCCTATTTAGCAAAATCCTAAGAAAATTTGAAATTCAGTTGACAAATAATTATAAAAGTCAGAGCAATAGACTAAACTTGTCAACGTAAAAAGCATTACTGGAGCTTCCATCCAAATTATTCCAATTAATTCCAATTTTGGTATATTTTATTTGATCATTAATAAAAATCCAATATATGAAAAAATCAAAGCAGTTATCATTGCACATTAAAATATATCACTTTCTTGAAAATCAATTAATGTTAGGATGAAAATCATTTTTTTCAATAAACATATGCCTTCATGCTATTCATTTCTAAATTTCACAATATCAAGATGTTTAGTCAATCCTTTGCAATGTAGACTTAAAAAGTAAGCAAACATACTCAACACTCCAATAGAAATACATTAAGATATGTTTGATCGAATTCCAGATTCATTATTCGATGCCATAAATAGAATAACTTTAAAAAGCAAATCCCAAGCATTTGCATAGCATATCTGCTTTAAACCTTTCATTGTATAGAGCTACTTTATATTGATGAATTGTTAATTGAATTTATATAATTGAATTCCTACCTTTTCTACAACTCTGTATTTACTAGAGCTAATATATTGAAAATAATTAGAGGTAAAACAATATTTGAGAGAGTACTTTGGGTAGAATTATAAAAAGATATACAAAAGAGCAATCAAACTAAATTAAGACATCTAACTCTAAATATTCTAAAGGAGATCAGCATTAATTTAATATTCAGATAGCTTGCCTATGCTTTTGATAAAGTTTTGTTGAAATATAGAATAAAAAAAGTCTGTCAATTTAAAGGTTATTAGGATTGGACTCACAGATACAATTTCAGAAGCACGAAAATATATTAAGAGATTTTGAGGGTAAATTACATTTATAAATTTTAAATAAGATTAAAATTGTAGAGTGTCGAAAATTTCAACACTTTATTATGGATCTCCAATAAATAGCATTAATACACTAAAAGCTCCTAAGCCTATCATTAAAGCATTCCCAAAGTTTTAAAATTTATTTGCAACATTAATTTACTCCTTAGTTAAAACCTTAGGTTGTTAAAGTAAAATTGTTTATGTTGGGAGATCGACTGGCATGTTATTGCTATCAATTAAACTTTAGTTGATCGAAATAGATAAATTTGGTAGAATTGAAGCAGAATCTAAAAACAAGACATCAAATTCAAATAAGCCAATGGTAAACTATGTGTCACTTACATTCACTACTGGATTTACAGTTATTTAATATTGATCTTAATTTAAATTAAGTATTTTTGATAAAATTGATTATGTAAAATTGAATGTCGAAATCTATTTTACTTGGTTTGAAAACTACATGACAACATATTAATGTTCGTAAGTTTGATTTTAATATATTAAGGAAAATATAGTTTTTACATAGCATTAATTTGGCTATTCTGAAGTACAAATCCAATTTTCCTCTATCTTGCAACGACTTGAACAACCATCAAAATTATCTTGATTAGCATCATCGCATTACTCTGAATTAGTTTGATTACCATCTCCACATTATGGTTTGTTATTCTAATTTTCTGGATAATCAATTTCATTTGGAATCAGTATTTTTTTGCATCCATCTAAATGTAACTCATACCCTTGATAACATTCAAAGCATATGCCTTGATTACATTTAGAACAATAAAGATCACATTAAAACATACATTAATAGCAACCATCATATGGAATATTATTTAAATCTTCACATTCTTCTAATCCAAATAATATTATTCCATCTCCACATTTTGGTTTACATAATTTATTTGCATCCAATTCAAAATATTTATTACATAAAAAGCAAAGATTAGAAGTGGCGCACGAGAAACAATTTTGATCACAAACAAATTTACAATCATTACAATCATCATAAGAAATATCATTTCCATCGTCACATTACTCTTAAGATGAAACAGCAAGTTAACCATCTCCACACTTTTGAAAACATTTATTATCTATAATTTACCATCCTTCAAGACAAGCATAGCATTATAATTCTATACATAATATACATTCTAATTAGCAACTTGCTTAGCATTTATAACACCCATCAAATTATGCATTATTTTAGTCATCACAAAATTCATATTCAATTTTAATTCCATCATCACATTAAGGAATACATTCTTTCTTATTCCAAGATAACTTATAAAATATTTCACATTCTAGACATTTATCAAATTGACTATATAAACAATTTAGTATTTGTTTTGTACTACGTTGATGATAATAATATCCAAATATCTCATATGTTTACATATTACAATCAACTTTATTGACAGGTAAAGGATCCGCAAATTAATCATGTAATAATTTATGATAATAATTGCCATAATATAACTAATTAGAAATTTAAATAAAGGTGTTGTCTTCTGATTTTTAATCTGAAATTCCATTTACTTCTACACATCTTTTGTCTATCAATTAATAACTCGATTGGCATTATAAGCATTGACCATATACACATTATTTACAGAATTGAACGCATGAAAACTTGCATTAAAAACAACCATCAAATTCATATATATTCCCATCATCACATTCTTCATTATATGTAATTATTTGATCTCCACATATTGGTTAACATGTTTAGTCTAAAATATCATAATCCCATCCTTTCTAACATTCAATACAAAGACCTCTAATACAATTACTACAACCTTGAGTACAATCATATCTTCCTGAAAAGCATCCATCAAAAGGATCTTTGTTTTCATCCAAGCAATCTTGATCATCTTTTAGAAATATGACTAGAGGAAAATCATCTAAATTGAATGTCTAAACATAACTTCCTAAAAGCCAATAAGCTAATATTCTGAGCTTTATTGCTTTGTAATAATTAGAATATAAAACAGTAGTCTCTTTTAAAATCTGCACATCACAAATTACTTATGAGGATACTTCATTAGATGATTTTGAACTTAATAACATTTTGTCGTTTATATAGAAATAAATATAGTATGGGTTTGATATTGAACTTAGTTACTTAAGTGATATACAGGTAGTACCATGATATTCTAAATTGAATTCTTACATAACGTAATCTCCTGATGATATTACCTTTTATTGCTCTATTATAGATTATTAATTTACCAAAGCAAGATGTAAAGGTCAAAATTACTTGTGGCTATAACAATCTATCTCTATAATATAATTTTTGATTAAATTTTGAAATTAATTATGCTTCATTAAATCTATTTGTTATTTCTAATGAATTGCATCCTTAAATAGAATAAGTGGTCCAAACTTGAAAAGAAGATATTCCCCAATAATTTTGATGTCCTATAATTGTTATTAATGCATTTGCATTTTAATGATCAGTAGTGACATCTACTGAACTTACACCATCTCCAAAAGAAGGACCTGATTCACCACAAATACTAGGTGAAGTGAATTAAGAATCGTAAGTCTAATAGTAAACTCTATTATTATCAACTAACACATCGATATTTTCACCTCCCCAATTATCAATGCTAAAAACAAATATTATTTTTTACTGCCAGAATTTAAACTTGACTTACAAGGTTGTATGAGGAAGTAACTCAATATTTTTTTCTATTATCGTACCCCAATGAAAATTTGGTTGACCTCCAAAAATCATGTCAGATCCACAAGTTGTTATGATACCGTTTGAGTATTAGACTACCCAATCTAGATAATGTATTTCAACTACTATTATACCATTTTAATAGTCTGATCCAAAAAATGAAGAATACACTAACGTTTAGGCATATAATGACGCATTCAGTAGATAAATAACAAGTAATCTTGTCCAATTCATACAGAGAGGTGATGAAATGCTGTCCGTAGCAATCATTTCATAATTTCCTAATGATTTAATCATTTGTAATTCTATAAAATAAAAAATAATAGTTAGAAATGTACATAAATTAAGTGATTCAGATTTTTAATATTTCATCCAAACCAGATCCTTATTAGTTTATTATGAAAAAATCTACCTAATATATTTTAAATAGATCCATCAATTTGGGGAATAATGAAAAATTTATAGAAATGAACTTTAATTAAATTTAAGTTATCAATCTAAATTCAGCATATAAAGCCAGATGGAAGCATAATGTAATTATTTCATTACTACTTTCTTCACTATTGGCACTTCTTGCTTAATTCATCAAATGACAAAATTTCAGCTGAATCATTATAAACTGTCGATGACAATGAAAGATCATTTAAAATACAATTTCAGAATAATTAATAATATTAATCATTAATTATTATAATGGCATGTTTGGAGGATATTTTGAAACAACCGAAATGAATGGGAATGGGAAA